AGGACGATGAGAGATTCGGTAACAGCGCCATTCATCAAGAGTTGATTCTAACTNTTTTTAATTGTAAGATGGAGGCACCAAAATATTTTCAGTGCTTAGGGCCTCAAGAGGTCTTAATCCGGCCCTGGGACGATGAGAGATTCGGTAACAGCGCCATTCATCAAGAGTTGATTCTAACTATTTAAATTAATCACGCGCGGTAAACTACTTATAAGAATTTTATTTTATAACCAGCGTTAAACGATCCTTAAATTGTATAAGTAAGAAGGACGATTATTCGGCTACTGCGCCACAGGTGTGTCATCAAGATTTGGAACTATTTAAATTAATCGCACCTGCTGAACTGTTTCATATCATATTCTATGTTCAGGGATGAGAGTAGTTGGAAAGTAAAAAAGAGGAAATTCAAGAATGAATATATATATACACAAAAATTTGACAAAAAAGTGCAATTTTTAAATTTGTAAACCATGTGATTATAAATCCCGATGATTAATTTTAAAATTGCATGACTATATAAATATGAATCACATGCATGATTTTAAATAAAGAGAATATGAATCCCGAAATGAGGCTATTAAATCACTTGAATATGAAACTCTATATTGAATTTAAAAAATGCGAAAATACAAATCACGATGCGTAATTTTTAGATCACGTAAATACGAATCACGATGCGTAATTTTTAAATAGCGCGAATACGAATCCCACTGTCTAATTTTAAAGCACGCATAAATAGGAAAATCGATGTTTGATATTACAACCGCAAAAACGAATCACGACATTGGATTTTAAGCTCGCATGAATACGAATCGCTACATAGGGTTTTAAAAGCGCGTAATTATAAATCGCGATATTGGATTTTTAAATCTCGCAAATAAGAATCGCAATGTACGACATTTAAATCGCAACGTTCAACTTTTAAATCAGGTAAATACGAAAATCAATGTTTGAGGGAGGAATGAAGACTTCAATACTTTCGCTTCGCGGAAAATTTAATTCTTCATAAAATATTTTAATTTGTGCAAAAAAAAATTTCAGCGGAAATTAGCGGGAAAAATCAGGAAAAAAAAGCGGAAATCCGCGGAAGAATCACATCCCTGTATGTTATAACCGGCATTGAAAGGTTGATCCAATTTTGAATTTGCTACTTTATTTTATTTTTCATAACCGGCGTTGAGCAGCTGATACAAATCTGAATGTTTGGTTCAACTCAGTAACCTTGAAATTTGAAATCCAACCCAGAAAACAAGGGAACTCATATATCAAGCATTGGAACAAACTAGCCTTCGTCCCACAGTAAGCAGATTCTAACCAATGATCCGCCTGCCAATTAGAATATTTAATAGGAGCACTGTGGTCGGTGCGAGCAGCATTCGTATCTATCAACCGCCACTGGGATTAGAGCCTGTTTACAGCTTAAAGTTCTTTTAAATTTATTTCCAATGTCTACCAGAGTTAATATTTCGTCCATTGGCCACTCTTTCATGGACAACGCATTAGATGGGTCAACATTGCTCACACAGTAAGGACAGATAGTACAGAGAATGAAAGATCAAAAATATCAAACAATTTCATTTGTAAACTTATTCTTGAATTCCAGATCTAACAAGCACAATTTTTCTTCTCTTTTCAATATTAAAAAGTTATCTTAGTTGTTTTGTCTTCAATATCTGAGCAAAGAATAGACTATGCTTTACATGCAGCCACATTTAGAAGTTATCTTAAGACAAAATTTTTCTCTCAAATAATAATTTTTAAAATTTGATGAGACTTTCAAAATATAAAGGACTTTTCATATCACTGTTTCAGGATCAAATACTAACATAAAATGTACATTGTATATAATTTGAATTATAGATGCAAAATTTGCACCATTTTATGTTGGTATGTAAACGTTATCACTTGAAAATAATTTACTGTGAACAAAAATAAAACCTTCTGTTTGAAAGAGTGGGAAAAAGGAATTTATCATCAAATAGGCTATTTCTAGGAAGAAATTTTCAAATTCAATATTTATTTCTAAATAGTTTAAATTTTTTTTTCATGTGCTATACTTGTTCTCTATTCAAATGAGCCATTAACACCTCCTTCCTAATAGAAATTTAAAACTTTCTGAATAAAGTGGAAACTGCTTTTAAGTAAATAAAATTGAATAGGCAGATTAATACTGTTTGGAAGAAAATAACACTACTCTTGCATTGCTAAAGAATAATTACTGGTTTCGTCAAATATTAATTTATTACCTTAATTCATAATTATTTTGATAACTAAGCACAAACGAATCATTACATTGTTTGCCACAATTTAATAAAATATATTTTAACAAATAAACATAAATAGTAAGTAAACCTAACATATAATTATCTTTTCTTTTTTTAAAAAATCATAATTATTTTGATAATTAAGTATACTTAAAGTAACCATTTAATTAATTACATTTTAATGAGTAAACATAATTAATCAAACATTAATTCACAACTTTTTCTTTATAAATTTTTTTAATTATTTTGATAATATAAATCATCACTTCATTTTACTATTAAACTGTTAATTATTATCATTTACTGTTTCAAATATTACAATTTATTTTAAAAAGTAAATATAACTAATTAAAGACTAACATTTAATTCAATTAACATTAATTAAATATAAAACTTACATTAGGTATGTAAATAACAAGAAAACATAGTTAGTAAAGCTAGCATTTAATTAACAATACAATTATTGGGAAACATTAATTTATTGATAAGTCGTTTTCAGAAGCTCGACAAACTAAGTATAGTCTATCAAAAGAGCTTCTTTAGCCAGTCGTTTGTGACAGTGTTTACATCTATGATCACAAAAGTCAACTATTTCAGGTTGGGGAGACAAATTTTGACAGGGGTGGTTGAGAAAAGTATTAAAAGCACTTTTTTTTGCATGCACTTTATTGGGTTTCCATAGCAGCAGAAAAATTCAGACTCCATGGCGGGAGCTTATTAGAGACAGATTATAGGCAAATTTTGAGAGACAAGCTTAAGAATGTTTTGGTATTAAAGGCCTTTACTTGTTTTTTTAGTTAAAATTTAAGCTTGATTTTGATGCTTGTCATTTTAATATCAGTTAAGTTCAAAAAGCCATGTTTGACTCTCATTATAAATAAAACAAATTGCATAAATTTTTTGAATTAATCAGAACAGTTGGAAAATTTTTAATTAAGTTGAGATTTAATGCTAGCTAACATGCTGAATGAAAATTATTATCAATGGAAAGTCTTGTATTCGAAATCTTCCGTAGTTAGGCAAATCAGGAAAATAAATTTTTCGGATAATAGGTCTAAGGTTAACAAACATAATATGCAATACTCAATTGAAAAATAACAAACAAACAATAAAATTGAGAAACAAATTTTTTGTTGCATTTATACCTTGCCTAAGTCCGGCGTGAGGATTTAAAATCTGAAAATAGCTTTTTCCTTAAGTTAGATTTTTTTTTAAAATGATATTTTAACTCTTTTTGTTGTTTAAGTGCACAAGTTATAAATAACAGGAAGTCACATAAATTAATATTGAAATAAACTTCTAGGGGAGTTAGGTCACATCCCCGAAAATGTCGTCGTACGCAGTTTTCTTATTATGAATTGCTCAAAAGTACACTAAGAGTTTATTATTGGGTATGGATTCCTATGCAATTTTAATCTTGAGAATGAGCCATTACTCAAGAAGTTTGTCACAACATTTGTGTGACTCCTAGTTTCATATATATTTTTAAATTTGAACACTTCAACAAATTTTTTTTTTTTTAAAAATCCAAAAAACTGTAGCTTGGAGAGGGAAAGATTGCAGAATTGAAATCAGCAATAGGAAAGTATCTAAAATCTGTTGAAAAATCTCCCACCACAAAAACAAAAATTGTTCCATAGTGTAAATAATGTCAATTTCTTACAATTAGAAAGGCAGATAATCAGATAAAAATAACATTAAAAAATATAGTGTATTATAACAGAAAAATTAATATCATTTAATAATAAAAAAATATAATAATTGTTAATAAAATCATCAATCTAAAGGGAAAGAAAGTTTATCTGCCAGTGTTCTTGAAAAAAGAGGGAAAAAAAAAAAGAATTGCTTGTTTTGATTGTACACATGGTGCATAGTCAGTCTTTTAATCAAAAAATAAGCACCTGTTAAGTACTTTTCAAGCACTCAAAAAATATTTTTAATCACCTTCCCAAAAAATCCTAATTAGGATCTGTGCAGTAATAAAAATTATCTTTTCAATCATTTAAAGTATTTAATTTATAAACATAAAATCAATAAAATTCAAAAATATTTTAAAAAACTTGACATGATCATGATAATATAATTAGTTTCTGATAAATATTGTTGAGAGAATAATGCATTTTTTGCAATTTAGAACAACAATCGACATGCCAAAGAAATTTTTTTTTTATAAAAGGTAGAAAATTAAACTTTTTACAAACCTCAAATAAAAAAAGCACCTTTAAATGCTTTTAAAAAACATAAATCAAAAATAAGCACCTTTAAGCACTTTTTAAAAACACTACGTACCATGTGTACAAAAGTTTCTGGTAAACAAATATTCGTATAGGATTTAGTACTGTACATTAAAGTTTTAAGTCCTGAACTTGATGTAAAATTCTTAAGATTTCAAGGAGTATCAAAAACTACTATAGAAAATAAAAAAGTTAGTAACACTGTAAAAAATGGGATAACATATGGATTGAAATTAATTATATAAAAGAATAAGTTAAATAGAAAGTTATACATGTTATCACAATCCTGCAAAATATTAAAATATATTTAGAATTGAAAATACTCAAACGAAATCCAATAATGAAAGCATTGAAACACCTAAGAGAAAATTCTAATAAATCGAAGGATATTTATTAAAACAATAATTGATTTATATTTTTTTTTCAAAAATTCATCACGTACAGTGGAAAATTTCATAAATAACTAAAATACATAATTACTTCAAAAGTGAGATTAGATAAATTTGAGAAGCAACAGCATATTTCTATATTTATTTTTCAATGCCAAAAAATGGCAACATTTGTGCAGACAATGCCAGTACAACAACATTTTAAACATGCAATTTGAGAATACAGAAAACATAAATAAGATAAAACTTATTCAGAACAATCTAGACATTTGCAGAGGGAGAAACAACAATTAGGGAATGTCTAAAAATGTAACCAAAACTTGAATCTACAATTCTTAAGTCTATGAGAAGTCGAAGCATTCACTACCACATGTGTGTCTCTCTAATTTCACCTATAATTTGGTTGGCCCTTTGGAGTGCTTTCAGCATGTCAGCCGTTTCTTGTCTGCGGACAGCAATGTGATCAGACTCCTGCAATAAAGTTGTGAAATGATCGTGCTTGTAAAGATGAGTAACCAATTCACTTTGAAGATTGTCTCTCACAAAGTTAACGAGAAAGTGCATGATGGCTTTCGGAACAGCATCTTGAATATTTTTGCGCACAATCATAAAATAAGAATAAATTAGTCTCTCAATAACTTCACAATCTTTTTTCTCCTTGGGCGATAATTGTCGATGGGTGTTGTTGGGAACCTCGGGGAGAAGATTTACCGCTTTTACAGGACTGAACGGAATACCGGGGGAGGCATTCCTTTCCATGTTGGTTGTCTTTTCTGTCGCTCCGGTATTTTCCTTGTTACCATACTTCAGTTGGTCCGTCCAGGTACCAGCCGTGGCATAACCTTGAAGAAGCAAGTTTGAATCACTTCCACTTAGTTTACTAGATGAGTGTAACGTTGACTCGGCATACTGCGTTATCTTCCTGGAACTTATCAACTTGTTGTCAATTTTCTCTGCGGGACCATCTGGATTATTATGGAACTTTAACTGAGGATTATTTATTATTTTAGGTTCCATAGCCTTATTAATATTAGAACTCTTTTCATCTGAATGTTTGACTAGAGTGTCGACGAGAGCAGCATCGTGGTGAAAATCTGGATGCTTAGTGTTGATATAGGCTAGTTCAATGGCAACGAGATTCTCAACCATGGAGTTTGTAGCTGGCAACCTCCTTCTGAGAAGCTGAGTGACTACATCGACGATCTTCTCGTGCAGCTTTGGAAAGCGAATTATTTCCTGTTGGACCTCTGTACCACAGTGCTGAATGATTCGTTGCATTTCTTCGTGCACCAATTCTACGCAACGGAGACTGGGGTCTTCAAGACGTCGGATTTGGCGCTTCACTAGCAACTCAAATGATACTTCAGGAACAAATAAGGCCGGCCTCGTACCAGTAGCATTTCTAATGGCAGTAAGGATATCATACGTAGAGAGTCCTCCCAAAGGATGGATTTCGTTCAAGGTTCGGCCAAATGTTTCGTGGAAAATGTAGCAAATTCTAGCACCGCCACACAGTTCAGAGGTCTCGATGTTACGAGCAGTACCTTCCACGGTCGAGCAATAAGAAGATGCAAACTTTGTAATGATTTGCAACAAAGTTTGGCCTTGGTCCTCAACAGCTTCTCCGTAGGAGTGCAACATGGATTGAAATTGAGAAATCATGACATTGACTCTAGTTTTGAGATCAGGCAGGCAATCTCGTATATGATGCATCAGAAGTCTATTCAGAGTCTTTGCTAAGAATGCGGTACCATTTCTATTAGCTAATGTAGGGTATTTTCGTTGGAGGTATGAAGCCTCATCTTTAATAGCATCGGTGATGCTTTTATTATTAATAATATCCTGTTGAGATCGATTGACTACTCCTATTATTCCGAGTTTAACAGGAATAACTCGCCCACACAGCACATCCACTGCATCAGTACCTGCATCCATGAGATCCAGTTTAGTGATAACTGCTAACGTTCTTCTACCATCAGGGTCACGTTCTCTCGCCAACTTCAACGACTCTGATGTAGCAAAATCAGTGTTAGCAGGATGAACTGCTAATATGATGGCATTTGGATTACTTATGTGCTGGATGATCAATTCACGAATTTGGAGTTCAATATTTTCAGGCTGGTCACCAACAGGTACTTTCGTAATTCCAGGGAGATCAACGAGAGTCAAGTTAACAACCCTAGGTGAGTAAATCTTTAAGTTAATTGGCTCCTGACAAATCCCCTTGTTGGATCCACTCATTCTATCAGTCTCACTTTCAATTTCTTTTCGAATGTCATCAAAATTAGAATAAATTTTGTTCTTAGTATGCAAAAACTTGCCCCATTCTTCAAGATTCAACGTACCTTCTTCGGCTGAACGACAAGTAGTATCACCTTTAGGGGCATAAACTAACTGAAGAATTAAAGGCCGCCTTGTAACAATACCAGCACCTCTCGGTAAGAAATCTTTACCAACCAAGCTTTCAAGAACTGAGCTTTTACCGGAACTTTGAGTGCCGACAACTACGATTTGAGGTAATTGTATAGAATCAGTGCCAACGGTATTAAAAACATCGTGCAGTTTGTTCATTACAGGTATTAAGGCCTCCATTTTGATGACTCTTACAAACTAGTCACGCAATTAATACTGATGCAATTATAAAATTCGTTTCACAATTCTTTGTTTAATTACCGATACGGGTCTTCATGATTCGTCTAGAGGTCAAAGTTCTAATGAAGAATAAATATAATTCGAATATTTAAATAATTCAGAGTTTTTAAATTTCGATTAGTTTTCTAAAAAGAAAAATAATTTCAATGTAGAAAATTTATATTAAACGGTAAAGGAGGCCGCTATAAAAGCTAGCTGGTTATTAGAAAAGATAAAAATGATAAAAACAAAACAGCAACTAGGAATTCCAACTGTTGCCAGACGCTTAAACATAAAAAATTTGAATAATGCAATATAGAGAATAAGCACAGTCTTAACTATTTTGTAGAAAAATGTAAATTCGTGTAGTAAGTAGTAAGTAT